CTGTATTCAATCATCGCTTTGCTAGATAGAGATGTTTCAGCTCATTCTGATCTTCCTCACCTCTCAACACCGGCACATATTGATTCTCTGAGGCTATAGGACATTGCAGATGGCTATAGCAGCCACCTACACATTGTGATTGTTTCACTGAATATTCCCGTATCTATAAATCCAGTCACTAGGGTATGCAAAACCACCTTTCATGGGCTTGTGTAGAGTACAACTAAAGGCTCTTATACGACAGACTAAACAAGAACCAAATCCAGTTACTATGTGATGCTCAAACCTGATAAAGTTCTTTTACCTTCCCTGACATTTGTGTCTCACACAGTCCCCCCTCACAGACACTGCAGCTCACTGTGGGAGGGTTTCAGCAACAGAGGCAGTGCTGTCAATGTAGAAAGCAGTGGGCCGGTCTAGGTGTGGCCAGGGGCTGATTGATAATGTACAGGCATGTGAATCAGCAGTGATAATGCTGATAGCCATGCCCCTTCTGACATCTTTTCATCCCACTGTAGTGCAAGCAGGTACAGCCTACGTGAAAGTGACAATTCTGCTCTGAATTCAGGAGCAGTGCAGCATCGTAGCCACTCCATCAGAGGAAGTTGCAAGAGAAAACTGTAAGTGCAGATGAACTTATCAACTGCTGCAGCACATCATTTTTAATGGAAGTCCATAGTACTGCTTAGCTGCTCTTGTGCCTGTATATCCCTCATGGACTAGAGCAATTTCTACATTTCCACTATAGAAATGTTTAATTGGTCGTAACTTTGCCATTACTTAAAGTGATGTTAAACCTTTGCTGTTTTTTTTAGATGAAGAGGTCCACGCTTCCATTTTTTGAACGTTCTTGTTAAAATGTGTTTCTCGCCTCCTCCGGCAGCTGGTCCCCAAGCTGCTGATCCCCCTGCCAGTTTGTGGGTGTCTCCTTTTGGCTGGCGGTGCTGAGGAGACACCCGTGTGTGTGTATTCCTAGCCGTGACCTGCGCCTAGCTTTGTGCATCCATAGACACATACAGAGTGTGTGTCTTTGCCCTGACTCCCTCCACCGCTCTCCTTCTAAATGCTTTACTGACAGCAGATGAAGCCTATCACTCCTGTGCCCTCAGTACCCTCCCCCACAACCAGGAAGTTTGGGGGATGGCGATATCTTCCGTGACCCGGCGAAGGTGACAAGCGACCACAGGTAAGTGTGGGGAAGGCACAGGAACGTGGAAAGGTATAGGAAATGTTTTACATCAATGCAGAGAATGCATTATGGTAAAATAAAAAAAGTCTAGCCTTTAGTACTATGTGTACTATGTTAGGGTAACAAAGTAATACGTTCATTGTTTTTTGGGGGAAAAAACAATGTTGTTTTGCAATGTTTGTTTAAAAATGTGGTGATTGACCAGTCTTCATTTAAAAAAAAAAAAGTATTTTTACTGTAAATAAAAATGTTTTATTCTATATTTTGTCCTATTTAAAATGATACTAAAAATCATGTTTCTGGGCACAGTGCGGCAAAGCTTTATTTTTCTTTCATTTTTGCGCATTTTCTTATGTGACAGTAACAATCAAAACATTTAAAACTCAATTACAAATATGAATGGTAACAAAATAGAAATAATAAAAACAATAAAATAATAGCAATGGGAGGAATGAGTTAATTAGTGATGATAAGGGTTAACTCTGGTTTAATAAGGGGTTTATTTAAAATTTTAAGAAAACATTTTTAACTTGAAATGTTTCATTACATGATGTCATTGTATTTCATTCATATGTAGCTCTACATGAAATATTAAATACAATTAAATAATTGTGTTTTCCCATTAACACTTGCAGCTAGTAATTGCTGGTAATAGCGATGGGCAGATCAGCAGTAGGGGGAGAGGAACTATGGAGCTTTTTTAGAGATGCATCCTAAAAACGTTGTTGAAGATTTTTAGGACGTATCTCTAATGTTCTAATCTTCCTTATGTAAGCTACTAGTCCCACCAATCTGCCATGTAATGGGAAAAGGGATTAAAACTCAAGCTCTGCAAGGGGCTTGCATGTTCTCCCTGTGCTTGTGTGGGTTTCCTCCGGGAACTCTGGTTTCCTCCCAAGCTCCAAAGACATGCTGGAAGGTTAATTGGCTAATTAGCTCCTCCAGTTGGTTAATTGGCTCCTGTCTAAATAGGCCCTGTATGTATGCATACGAAATAGGGGCCTTAGATTATAAGCTCCTTGAGGGCAGGGACTGATGTGAATTTGCAACTATGTAAAGCACTGTGTAAATTGTCGGCGCTATATAAATAAATACATATAATATATATAACATGTTTGTTTTTGGGTTTAGATACACTTTCAGAGCCTAGCCATGCTATATTAAAAAAGAAAAATATGTTTAACTGTCAGACTGCAATACTTTGAATAATTTCAGCAGCAAATTTAGTCGTGACCCTACCCAGTTATGCACCCAGTGCAAGTTGAGGAACTTTGACCCGTGAGGCTTACTGTACACCTTTTATTTGATCTTTGCTATATATTTCTGTTTGTTTTGTTGCCCAGCATCTGTTGTTTGACCTTATGTCCTGCAAACAAAGAGTTATTTTCTGTTCTATAAAATGGAAAGCATCGCAAGAACAGAGTATTGGAATTGCTCTAAATCCAACATGGAGCAGTATAAAGAACATATATAAATGACTATTGGTTTTCAATGATTTCATTTATAGGCCATTAATTTTTTTAATTTTTTTTTACAAGAAGCTTTTCTCTTATGTGGATTGATGATACTATATATAACTTCATCAATAGCTGCTAGTATTACTGCTATTAATGTCCAGGCACAGTTGGCGTCTCTTGGGTAGTTTGGGCTGTATGTTTTTTGCTTTTGTATGTGTTGTTTTTTCTTTGATGATTAGAGGTTTGCTTCTTATAACTCTTCATTTTCTCCCAGCCTGTTTGCAGAAAGTAGTACATATGTTATTGAGAGGATAGTGTTATCACATGTGTTCAGGACTAGATATTGTATATGTGGTCACACAGTATCTATAAAGAGGCCTGTTTGTATTGTAATAGCAGTACGGGAGTGTGTGGGGAAAGAATGGTTGTTGCTTGATAGAAGCAGTTAATAGCACTCGTTTTTACTTGCTGTGGTGATAAGCAATGACGAGCAGTTTAACTTAAAAGTTGCAAAGTATGTGTACATGAGAAGGGAAATTCCCTACATGTTTAATTCCCGAGCTGGTCAATTTATAGATTCAAGTGAGATGGGCAGTTTGTTACTCCCCAGCACTGAGCTTTGCCAAAAAGCTAAAGGGGCCCAGTACAATTTGAATCCAAGTGTCACAAACAGAGGCCCCAGTGGGATAAGTTTGCTAAAATGTAGATGCAGTATGCAGTTGGGGTTCTAGTTTAATTCGTAAGTGCAAGATATACACTCCCTAGCTAAAAAAAAAAGGTCATCACCTGGATTTAGCTAAGCAAATAGGTAACAGCCTTCCATTGCATAAGTGTTATAATCTAGGCTTGCTTCAGTTGGTCAGATGGAGGTTCAGCAGCATTATGTCTCCAAAACAGGTCAGCTGCTTACCTGAATATACTGAATGACCAGGTTTTTCCATCAATGGATTTATTTCTTCCGTGATGCTAAAGCTAAAGGTGGTCCAATGAAATTTTAGAGTGTGTGACTTGTTTGGGGGCCAGGCAGCATATGTAGAAATGATCAGCCTCCGAGCAAAGCTTACTTCAGCCCCTCCTAAATGTATCAAAACAAAATGCAGGGTCTGACTCATCCAGGGCAGTCAAAGACCTCTTGTACGGGTACCAAATATTTCCAGTGTAAGCGTACATTTTTTTTTCCATAAAGGTCACTCGAAAAAAAAAAGAAAAAAAACTTGGCTGAACACAGTTTAAACCATCCACCACATAAACTTAAAGTGGATCTTTACCCCCTTTCACTACAAATAACAGCAGCATGCAGCTCTGCATACTGATATGAAATCATCTTAGATTTATTAGATAAACACATTTTTCTTTTACTTACAATTATTGTTTTTCCACTTCCTGGTCCTCTTGGGCATTAGTGATGTAATTTGTGCCCAAGCATTGCATCCTGGGAAGGTTACATCCGCAGAGCATTGCTGGGAAATCTCATGAGATCTCGGGGAAAGGCATTTCATCCCCTGAGATGATATGCATGGTCACATGTCCTAGTCACATGTGACAGAGTTCCCGGAAGTAAAGGGAGATGTATTAACCTGCTTTTGGTAAAAATGGCCACTGTGAGAAGAATGGGGAGGAAAAGAAAAATAAGGTATGCAGAGAATAAAAAGCCTGCAATTATCTAGAAGTATGTGTTTGTAGATTGTCATTACTAATCATTTCTAAAGGTGTATTTCGTGTCATTTCAAAGATAAGGGTAAAGTTGCTCTTTAATTGGATTTTTGGTCAGTTTTAATTTACATTTTTTTAAAGGTAAAAAGATATTGCAATGGTTTTCATTATTTTTAAATGATTATTTAAAAATGTTATTTATGATGTAAAAAATTCCTGTAGGGTGCATCCAAGAGACTCTGTTTGCAAAGTATGTTGGCCTTTTTTTTTTTATATAGTAATAACAAAGCCTAGCATTGCTGCATGCTATTTGGCAGCTTCTGCAGACTGACTAAGATGCATTGTTTTTTCATTCAGTTGTCTGTTTTTAACCCAAAAGCTGTTAAAAGCATTTTCAGAGAGCATATAATTTGCATAGCACCTTCCGCATCAAGACATCATATACTGTAGTATGGCAATAAAAAACATTGCAGCGTGACTGTACAAAATAAAAAGCATGTCCCTAAAAATAAAGAAAATCAAATCGGTAGTTTTGTGGCTATGCTACAGTTTGTGATCAGATAGGCCTATGTTGTCTGAGCCTGTATACAAAGGTTCAGCATGTACTGTGGCAAGCTGAATGCGTAATTTCTTTTTGTGATTTTTTTTTTTTTTCCCCCATCACTGTAGCTGTCAATAATATATTATGTTTCCTTTTGCAGGAGAAGCTCTTGTCACGATCACTTCAGAGAGGTGAAGATCTTCAGTTTGACCAGGTAAGATATTTAGGCTTTGGAAAAGCAACCAGAAAATACCTGGGTTGGTCCATTTGTCTGTTCATTACAGTATACTGTATGTAAGCTGCTGTAAACCATCTTTCTCTATTTCTTTAAAAGCTAATAAAAACAGATAGAACAAGATTAAACGAAAAAAGTTTTGACTGGAGTTGGGTTTTCAAATAAATCTAAACTTTTTGTTTTTGAGAGAGAAGGGAATAGGTAGAAACTCGAATTTTTTTTTTTTTTTAGCCTATGTCCCTTCACTTTCTGTCCCAGAGACACAAAAGGAAGTGAGAGGAAATATATTCAAAGTTAAGGAGAAATCCCGTTACACAGTTGTCACCTGAGCAAGAGTCCCTACTGGGAGATTTCCCCTTTATTCCTGTTCCAGTGACAAGTGTAAAATTTTGGATTTATTGATTCTAGGTGTCATTCAGCCCAGAAGACAACTGGTGCTGGATGGCAGGGCAGTGTGTTTTGGGGGGAAAGTGCTGAAGTGAGTATTGTAGCAAGAGCAATTGGTTTTTTTAATTCCATGCTGGGTAATTTTTATAACTGTAATTGGCTTTTAAAGTTATTATTATTATTATTATTATTATCATCATAATACAGGATTTATATAGAACAGTGTGCAGCACTTTACAAAATCAAGCAAGACAGTACAGTTAAAGGAGAACTATGGGGCAAGCTTTGTTGCCCATAGTTGTCCTCAGGGTCACACGAGGGGATATACTGTGTCGTCTGGTGACCCAACGCTCAGTATATGCTGAGAGCGCTGCAGCTGGGACGGATCCCGACAATGCTGTAGAGATCCACCCACTGGCTGATTGACAAGTGGCTCTGCCTGTCTAGAGGCTGAGCCAGCTGGGCACACCCCCTTCCCCGTGTGTTCTTCCAGTCAACGCTGGAGAAACGGGGTGGGGTAATCCCTGCAGGGAGCGGTGACTGACGGTCAATGCTCTCTGCAGGGAGATGATCTCCAAGTCAGCGTCGGTGTATTTTCGCTGACTTCCCAAATAATCAGAGCTGACTTGTGACCGCTTTTTTTTGTCACAGGTCGGCTTAAATTATGGGAATGAGTGTTTTTCACTCACCCCATAATTCTCCTTTAAAATACAATTCAATATAAGAGGGTTAGGAGAGCCTATAATCTAAAGCGATACAAACAGGCAATCATTGTGAGAGATGAACGATCACAGCACAGTTTTAAGGTGGAGGCGGGATAGGCTTCCCTGAAGAGAAGGTGGTGAAATTGACCTAAAATTGACCAGCTTTACTATTTTTGGTGTCTCTATAGTTCCAACATTCATAAATAAATATATGGAAGAATTTAAAAAAAAATCAGGAGAAATCTTTTAGCAAGTTATACTAAACAAATAACGGTTTATTAAGGAGTATGTATAGAATAGCCAGTTTTCACAATACTCATCCTCCAAGCTTCAAAGAACCAAATGGCAATGCGGCTCATAGCTGTGGAGAAGGTCTTGCTGAGACCATCCATGTGCCTCTACTGTTACATAACAAGGTTTCTGACTGTGTATTTACAAACAGAAAGATACTTTAGTGCTTACGTGTGGAGAGGCAGACGCGTGCCCTGTGACCATTAGTAGAGTCTGCAGGTGCCAATAATTGTTAATTCAAGAATTTCATTGCTCTTGCTTCTTGAACAAAGGACCTTGCATTTTATTAATGAACTTACCCATCCAGAACTGCTGGATGTGTTTGGTATGCTTTTGTGAGCTGAGAGAGCGCCAAGCTGAGCAAGCAATAATAGGGAGGATAGTTGTTGGACTGGCCGCTCACACTGTTTCCTCTAAACATTTTATATTTTGAGTGCTAATAAAACATTGGTTGCAATTGCTGCCAGGATCTTCAAGTAATAAAGAGATTAACCAGACTCCTGACCATGCTGTGTAGCGAAAGGGGAAAAAAATGAACTGCTTACAGGTAGGATGAGCCTCTACCCTTTAACAATGAGTTTTATGCTTCTCTGACCCTGAATGGGGTTTAGGAGGAAATATGCCATAGCTGAGCTCTACTTCTAAAATGTCACATTGCCTAGCTATCTTGCTAAATCATTGGCTCCAGTACTTTTTGAGACACCCGAAGCATGTGTGCAGATCAGAAGTTCTGACTATGCTGATCTGCATTCTTGTTCTAGGTCACTGACTCAAAGTATTGAAGTCAGAGAAGCTAGAATTTTCCAACGAAGGTGTACAGTGGCAGTCATCATATTTTTCTCAGTACAGGATTTCTTGTCACAAAAAAGAATATAAAGTCTGTGTTCCTTGTGTTAGCCTCATGTCCAAATTATACATTGCCCTGTAACCGACTATGTTTATGCTTTTACTTTTTAAATCTACAGGTAATGCAATACTATAAAGAGTTGTATTGGAAGTATAAATCACTAAATACCTGGGAGAGTAAATCCGGCCCTGAGAATACCCTAACAGTGCTAGCACCTGATTGGCTCAGAATTTTTTAACCAGCTCCTTCAATTAGCTGCGAGGGCTAACTGCTCATTTTGGTCTAGTGACCAGAAAAAGGAAATCTCCTACTCACCTGATCCTTGGTTACCCCATAGTTCTGATTCCTAGTGTTCTGCTTTAAGGGCACATTCAGATGGACCTATTGGCCACCACCACTGCTCAGAACCGGCATGTCAGTATTAACAGTGTGTTGCCAGTGGCGCCTGCGCCATTGATTAACAACTATTGATGTTGATATGTTGACCCTGCATAAGTTATTATTGCGTTTGCGGTGCATGCACAGAATAACATTGGCCGATTCCGAATGACTAAAGGCTCAGATAATTCTGGGCATTCTCTGCCACCTCATGAATGCCTCATTCAGTTCCAACATGTCAACATCCATAATGTGCTACACATTGTTGATATTGACATGTTGGCCCTGCAGCTGTGGCAGCCATTAGGGTGCATTAACACTGTATGATGTCCACATGTAAACGTTAGCACAAGCATTTAAATGCTTAGTGTAACTACCACTGAGATCTATGGCTCAGACTTAGCTGTGTCCTATGGGATTTTTTTTACGCTGCTAGTGCAGTGCAGCATTATACTGCCAGACATAGCTGTCTGAATGAAGATTTTTATACTGCTGCGTACAGTAGCGTACAAAACTAGATGCTGTACACTGTATTTTTAATGGCTGTGAAAATGAGCCCTAAGAAACTTTTGTTGACCATAGCAACCTAGTTATAAAGGAAAAAAAGTAATTGAACAGCTTTGGGGATTTTCCTTTTTTCCTTTTAGATAAGTACTATCTTTAGTGCAACAATGAAGGACTGAAAAAAAAAACACTTATGGTACATAATTGGTTGTGTTGGTTACAAGCCTATAGGTGGGACATTTGTTTAAGAATTAAGGACACAGCAATATTGGAACCATGGCACAAAAAAATGGCTGCCCCTAAAAAAAAAAAAAAAAAAAAGAGTATAAAAGCTCAGCGGTTGTCTCCACATAGCCTTTTGCTCATTGTAACTATATGCTCCACTTGCTAACGTAGTAATCTCGGGAGGCAATATCTTACTATAAGCTCAATTCAGAAACACACCAGCATAAGTGTCCTTAGTTTCAAAACCATTTAAGGTTATAGAAAATAACTTTTGAGTCGAATGAAATGTGAAAATTACACTCACATGGCTGAAAATAAAGTGCCTTAGGCTGGTGTTAAAGCAGAACTCCAGAAATGATCTTTCATGGCCCTTGCATTAAGGATGGGACAGCATTGTAGCTCAACTATGGTAAAGGACTAGAATTGTATTAAAGTTTGTGTGTGCATTTCAGTCTGTTACATGCGTCCCTCAGTATCTGTGATTGCATGGCTCATAAACAACGGTTTACCTGCAGACCTGGCCCAGTTTTCTTGTGGAGAATGTGCTGCAGGTAAAGTGCTGACTGTATCACTTCTATGTATGTACCCTTTCATGCCATTTCTACAATTTTTGTTAATATTTGACACATTTATAATGTGTGGAAAGTATGATTAATAAAATTATATGGTAAAGCTCTCAGGAAGTACAAGCATGACGGATTTAATGACACGCACTATTCATCAGCTTTTCTCTTTTGCCACAGGGTATATTGCTGTTTGTATTTGTCATCATCTTTTATGTTTTCCCTGTAAAGGCCTCACCCAGTGCTACCATAGTCTTACTAAAGTAGGTTTTGCATATGGCATACGAACTAGTTAAAACTGAACTCCAGGTGCGCATATATATATATATATATATACACACACAGCTCTGTAATTATTAACACTTAAATATATTTATTTAAATACAAGCAGTGTAAGTACATGTATTTGACTTGATATCAGTCTGTCACAGTCCCTGTACAGCAGAGTTGAGACTTGTGGGGGAGAAGCAGCACAAGAAGCCAATCAGAGAAGGAAGTGTCATGTGTGCTGTTAACATACCAGGGCACTTTTGGAACCCCAATAACTTTTAAGATTGTGTAGATAATGAGATAGTGGTGGTGTTAACTCCTCTTGCCTCTGCATCATCAGCTCTTTTCTGGAGTAATATCCTGGTAGCCCAGAGACCTGATAATCACTTTGATTAGCCAGATTCTTTGGGTAATTCTAAGGGTTCTAGGCCCTCCTTATCAGCAATTACTTGGGAAGTGGTTGTGTGAATTTCTCATTTGTAATCTGACATGTATCTGGCAATCATGTTCTGCTGACTATAATCTCTTCCTTTTGGGTCTTGCTATTACATATTGCTCTGTGAAATAACTTGCATCGAGGACTTGAACGGTCACTGATTAGTCTGGGACTTTCCTATTGCCTGCACCTTTCCATTTACCAGCAATGTGATGCCTGGGCTTGTGGGAAGGAGCAACGGCTACACGGTGGCCATGCAAGCTCAAGCTGAAATTTTCTTTATACAGCACCCTAGGAATTTTGTTACTGATGGGATTCTCTGCAAAGAAGCCCCTTCTATAAACAGGAGAGATTAGGGGTGTAATAACATTTCTGATGCATGTAACGTATCATGTAAACATCACCGTTTATTTAATGCAGTCAGAGACTGTTCTTTCATAGGCTGCTTGGAGGAACACAATGTTTTCCTAACATGCAGCTATTAAGTCCATTAATAAATAAGCCATACATAGGTAGAAAAGCAAACTGTGTATCTGACTCACAACAAGACTTTGGCATAGGAGCCACTTCTTTGATTTCCGCCATGGGATTCAGTATGTGGAAAATTGGCACAGAGTAAATGTGTGGTGCTTTGAAGTAGCCAGTGAACTATTGTAACTGAGGCATTAGGATTGCAACGTAGCCAGCTTGAGACCTATAGTGACTCTAGTCTGCTACAGAGAACTATGGTAGGGTTAGGTATGTTGGCAATGGTCCCATCATGGTTGGATAGAATGACTTGTAGAAGCTCTTCACTACCTTCATTACCTTGCCTGATTCAGATCTGCTGCGAGCACACCATCCACAGCCCGGGAACAGCTAACCTCAAAAAAAAAAAAAAAAAGATTGAATGGTATTACTATTGATAACTTTCATCACCTTCTTCCAGCTCTTGCCGTTAGTGAAATAAATACCTCAGTTCCCCAGGGCAAGAATGCATCCTAGAGCCTGACATAAAATAGCAGAGGGGGTGGTAGGATACTGCATTGAAAGGTGTTCTCCATTAGGTTTTCTGATACTGTTGTAGAGTCCTACGTGTGACTGTATTTTGGGAGAATGAACTGTTGAATGAAGTTAAATATTAGCATAGCATAACATTAGCTTTGTGATAAACTCTTTTATCACCTGATAAACTATTAGCTGTGTGTTAAAACAAGTTGTGCAAACTTGGATTTAAACTATCGTAGCAACACCCTGATGTTTGTGCTCTGTGGTCTCCAGTTAAACAGCAGTATTTGTTTAGTATAGCCTTCAATATATGGGCCGTTTAAGGATATGTATTATATATGGTCTGGTCTGGCCATTCACTCCTGCTTTTCTGTCCTGTTTGTGTTGACAGGTGATCAGCTGTATGAGCTCTGTAGCAGAGCATTGTCTCCCCTCATTAATCCGCACCTTGTTTGACTGGTATAAACGACAAAATGGGACTGAAGATGAATCGTATGAATACAGACCTCGCTCTAGCACGAAATCTAAAGGGTAAGCATAACAAGGTTCTGAAAGCCACATCCTTTTTGGAGAAATGTTTCTTTGAGGCCCTTTACAGAATTTCTAACAATGCAGACCAATTTAATACTATACTTTTATACTGACCAATTAAACCATAAAGACCCTCTTTTAATGTTTATAGTCACCCTGCCAGCACAGGATCTTTTGTACACCAATAGCCCACCTGCTAAAAGAAAAATATACTAACTTTGCAGTGGCCAGTGTCTTGACATACCACTGCTTCATTGCTCCTCAGCCACTGCAAGCTTATGACCGGCCAGATGGGTTGAATCTCTGTTTCCCCCACCACACGCAGTAGTTCCTCCCTCTGGCTCCTACATTCTTTACTGACATATGAGCTAATGGGAGAAACCACAGTGCATGGCGGGGTGCAGGTATTCCACACGTCCTCTTTTTTTTTTTTTATTAGCACATGGGCTTGGTGTACAATTGGCTGTATGCTGACTGCCTCATTTTAATGGTATTTTTAATATTATGTTCTAAAAAAACATAACTGCAAGAAAATGTACTTGCCAGTATTTTTAAATGGTTGTCTACTCTGCCTATGCAGTTATTAATTTAAGGTGGGTATACACAAAGCAAATTTCAGCCGATTCTTGATTAACTGGCCGAAATTCACTCTGTGGGTGACCCCATTGGCAGGATCTGGGTGGAAAATTGTCATTGAGGTCGACTGTCAAAATACAATAGCCCCAGCAGTTTGGTTCCTCCATCCATGCTATTTAGTGTGGATAAAGGAATCTGTTAGATCCTTTTTCGTTCAGTTTGAAGTGTATACCAAGGGTGGGCAAACTCCAGCCCATCGGCTGTGGTGCAACTACAAATCCCATGACGCATTGCAAGACTGTAACAGCTACAGGCATGACTCCCAGATGCAGATGCGTGATTTGGATTTGAAGTTTCACTACAGCTGCAAGGCCAGAGTTTGTCTACCCCTGGTGCATGTATACCCATGTTTAGTTTTCTCTTTGCCCACTGCGTGGTATACCATTTCTTTAGGGGCTCTGATAGCCTCCAAACAGTTTTCACAGTTATCTATTAGTGTCAGCACTTTAAGAGTATTACATCATTTATGTATAGTGACTCTTCATAATATCCAATATGTCTTCTCAATGACTGGATCTTTTGTCTTCCAGGGATGAGCAACAGCGAGAGCGAGACTACTTACTTGAAAGGAGAGACCTGGCTGTAGACTTTATTTTTTGTTTAGTTTTAGTAGAGGTCCTAAAGCAGGTAAACTCTAGCTTATCTACATCAATATAATTGTTTTACTGTGTTGTGTTTTTGTTTTCTTGCATGGGACATTAAAATTAGTGTTACCCACAGCAATCATTCACATGCTTTTATTTCCTAACCTGCACTAGAAATAAGAGGAGATTTTGTTGCTGTGGGAATTATGTATTTCTGTCAGTTTTATATTGTTGGCAGTGTCCCCGTTAGAGAGATTTACTCTCTTGTGTTACCTGATGACCATTGTCAAGTGAGAGAGGGTCCAAGATGTTGAGTTTTCACCAGAACAGGAATAGAGGGTCAGACAACAACTGTCCTCTGTTTCTTTTACTTTCTGTTGTCTCTACAGCACAAGAAGAGGGGAAAAACATCCCAATGTGGCAGGCAAATCACAGTTCTAAAATGTATTAATAAAGTGGGGTTTTTTTGGTGATGGTTTTTAGACTTCCACATTTTTACAATGCAATATGTAGATCAGCCATCAGTGGGAACTTTTAATGACTCAAATTTAAAGTAAAGTAAAATTACTCTTGTTTTACAACTGTTGAGATAGGTGTCATCCATAAAGGGGAGTACATTGTATTCAAAAAGTTGTCCAGCTCATAGGCTTGCATTGTGGGAAGGAGTAGTAAAGGACTGTTTAGTACTGCAAAGCAGGAAAGAGAGCCCCTATGTATAAATAATTACCAGTTATAAACAAGATTCTTTAACCTTAAAGGAAAATTATGAGGCGAGTGATTTTCACTCAGCCTCATAATCTGAGCTGACCTGTGACAATGAAACTGTCACAGGTCGGCTCAGTAGATCGGGAAGTGAGCGAACACATACCGTCGCTCGCTCACTTCTCGATCTATCCCTGCAGAGAGCCATGACTGTCACTCACGGCTCCCTGCAGGGATCGCCCTCCCCTGTCCGATCCTCCAGCGCTGACAGGCGGAACGGACGGGGGAGGGGCGGGTACAGCTGGCTCTGCCTCTAGATAGGCAGAGCCAGCTGTCACTCACGCAGCTGGGTGGATGCAGACAGCATTGTTGGGATCCGTTCCGCTAAGGCATCTCAGTATACCGCAAGCTGTAGCTCACGGTATACTGAGCTTTGGGTGACAGGAGGACGCTAGTTTGTGTCCTCCCGTTACTCTTGGAGAACTATGGGGAAAAGCACTGACCCCATAGTTCTCCTTTAAGCTCAGATTTATAGAATTATTTACATCATGGTGATCATTGATAAGTTGATGTACATCAGGTTGTTCCTTCACATTTACATGTTAATTTAGAAACCAAAAAATATAAGTGCCTATATATCCTCTTTAATGAAGAGTTTGGTGGGATTAAACTTACTGAGGTCTTAAGGGACATAGTAAGATGGCCACATGCAGTGTAAAAAACAAAAAACAGATACATGCTAAATGGTGAAGCATACTTCCCAATTCTCTTCCCTCCTCTTTTTGGTCTGATATACAGATATCTATGAAAACGGTTCTATTCAATTACCAAAAGTGTTATTCTACACCAAAATCTGTATCTTATCTTGCAATTATATCATTAGCTTTTTTTTTTTAAAAGGCAGTATAAAGGAAAAGCAACGGTGGAGAAAAAAACTATTCTGGTTTTAACTAATCATTTTTGTCATATAAATTCTTAATGCCATCAGCTAAACTTGTATGTTTTTCATGGTTATTGTTTCAGATTATTACAGGTAGTAATGTTATTTTCCATTACAGATGCCTGTTCACCCAGTTCCAGATCCCCTGATACAGGAAGTTCTAAACCTGGCTTTTAAGCACTTTAAACACAAAGAAGGGTATGTCAGCGTAGACCTGTTTGATTCTCTTATTTTTGTAATCAACATGCTTGTGGAATGACATGTAAATGGCTTGTAAAAGTAATTGAAAGCTTATAACTGCTTTTGTTAATTATGACAGATCCATTCTGCTGTATTACTCTTTGGAAATTGTATTACTATGCTGTGTGTAATTTTATCTATGAACAGATCAGTATATAATGTAGAAAATGGGTGTTTATATAATATTGCCAATATTGCCGTCCAGCAACAAGACAACGCTAGGGGTATACCCAAGGCAAGCAGTGGTGGAGCGGATGAGGATATGATGAGTAGGCCACATCCTTGTGGTCTAAAACACGCTCTTGAAGCACTTGATTCAGACTGTAGGTGCCATTTTTATTTAAACAGACCTACGTAATGAATCTTGATGAGGCTGTTCCTGCTGAGGGCTAAGAATCTTTTGAGGCAGCAACTTCTTAGGGGGTTGTATGGGACAAAGAGCCTTGTGACGACAAGTGTTAAAAGGAACAGCAAACCAGTCAGCTTCTATCTTTAATGTTTTAGAGTATATTATAAACTGAAAAGAAGAACCTGTGGAAAACAGTCATATTTGATTATTAGGGCCAATGGTTTTACCTTACTTCACACATTTTACTGCCTCACAAAGTCCACCTGCTCCTTAAATCTGAACACCAGACAAACATTTAGGCACTCCTGCCAGAAAGCACAACGTTCTCCGATGCTCCCTGTATCTTTTCTGCTAACTTCTTTGAATAGCCTGGTCAGTGGCTTAGCCAACACATGATGGAAATCCAACAGATCATAACTTGAGCTGGGTATACGCTATTTGAATTTTTTAAATTAATCTTTTGTACTGAATTAAAAAAAATCAGCTTCCTCTAGCCACACTGTTTAATGTCCTGCTAGGGCTAATGTATTTTAAAAGCTGGTCCCACTAGCTGTCTTTTACAATCACTGGTCCCACTAATTGATCTTTACAATCACTTTGCAGCACTTTAGTCAGCTTATTTTTTTTTTTCACAACTCTATTAACTGGATTAAATGGGGGCTTTTTATATTTACTTGGAGTTTCTCCTGGTTTGTGCACTGCTACCGGGTGCAGGTAGCAGTGGGAAGGCAGCACCAGATTATACATCTCAAATAACATGAAGACAGAAAGCCTTTGGACTTAAAAGCCTTTTCAATTCACGCAACACATATCTCTATGACTTCCTGGGTGTATATACCTATGGACATATCTAGAAGAAATATTGTATTTTCCTTCATCCATAGTCACTAGTGTCATGAAATAACCGTCAAATAATTGCATTGATTGATCTTTCTACATAGACATTTCCACATTGAATAGCAGCACTTTGTTTACTTAGAACCATATTCCTTGTTTGTCTGCCTTATCTTATTTACATGAGAGAGGAAGTGATTGCCTTAGTTAGGAAATACATTCTTATCATGCTGTGTACATATATACGTTTAGCTACTGATGGCATCAATTTTCAGTAATGAACTGTCAAGCTGTAAAGTAATTTCTGTAGTTTATTAACTGGGTACAGTACTTGTAATTTTGAATAGTGAATGTAACTACCTGAACACAATACACTTCTAGAATGGCTACATCCTGCATTGAAATACAGCAACATGGAATAAAAGCAGCCATATAGAAAAAATCAATAAGGCTGGGTTCACACCTGGTACATAGGCGCGTTTTTTCAGCTCGTTTTTTAGCAAGTTTTTTCGTTTAGTGAAACTTGCGTTCGACGCTCGTTTTTATACCTCCCTAGCAGTATGATTTATATTTTTTCCTTTATTTTCTCTATCTTTTTTTAAACAACTCTTTTTAAACTTCCCGCCAGTTCCGCCCCCCTGCGACGTGGCCGCATGCAAGGGACGGAACCCGTAAGTCGGCAGCGGCCGGAGGACACAGCGGGGATTGCGGACAAGGTAAGTCCTACGCTGTATTCCCGAGTGTGGCTCGGGGTTACCGCTTTGTAAACCCCGAGCCACACTCGGGAATACCAATGGATACGCGCGGAAAAACACCCCAAAGAAGCTCCTGCACTTGTTTGGGCGTGGCGCGTTTTTCAGCTGAGTTACGCCCAGGTGGGAACCATGCCCATAGGGATTGATGGGATTTCACGTGCTGAGCGTTTTTCAGCGCTTCGATCAGTGTGAACCCAGCCTAAAGATTTCCCACAGCAAAGCAATCCCACACTATGCTTCACCTTTGGGAAGATGTTTTGGTATTGCTATGCAGAGTATTATTTGTGGCATCCTTCTTTGGACTTTTACTAAAAAGTTAAACTTTTCTCTCATCTAATCACTTAACATTGTCGCAGTAGTGCTGTGAAACGTCCAGGTGGGTTGAGTAAGCTTAATTTTTTTCTGTAACCAGCCCTAAAACCACTACTCATGACTAGACCCATGAACAAAAATATTTCAAGAGATGTCTGAAGATCCCTATTTGCCACTTTGTATGATACTTTGATTCCTGTTTGAGGATTGTACACTATGCCATTCACTGATCTCTTTGGAAGCTGCTTCGTAGGGGGAGTTGCAGATGTGCTGAATATCTGAGGGCTGATCAAGACCTAGGTTATTAGAATTCATCTGTAATGCTTTTCAGTATCGTTAGCTTAAACTTTTCTCAGGTCTTCTGAAATCTCTTTTGTTCAGTCCGTATTGCTCCTCAGCAGAACTTCCTCAACCGAGCAGGTAACCACAGTTGGCTAGTCGTCTGTTTGTACACCAGCCCAGGGCAAAGTGAATAGTTCAGTCTAGTTACTTTTTTCCCAGATGCCATTCATATTCACATTTATGGTTCACATACTTTTTTTTTATCAGTGACCATGACTTCTTTATGTTGGTAAAGATATAGAAATGTAGCATGTCTTATGTGATTCTCAACAAGACAGACTTTATTATTTTGACTTGGTCATAGAGTAGATCACGTTTCAAAATCCAGTCGTGTACAAGTCCTCACAATTTGTCGTCAGTCAAAAACCTTTTCTATCAAATGTGTATATATACTAAAGTGACACTTAGGAGTTAAATCCTAAAAATGCATTCAAGTACACTATTAACAAAAATGTATCTTATTTGTGTATCACTCAGCTGTAGATCCTCAAATCATCTCTGAATTGGTGCTGACACTGTCCTTCCTTCTGGAGGGTGGCTACTTCTGTTCCCTATGATCCCTGTGTGTGTTGTAAAGTAGTCACCACTCCAAGCTCACTCCAGTGATGAACAACAATCTTAATACAAATTTGTAACCGAAATGTGAGATTGTAGTCCATCATGGGAGCGATCTGACTGATTGATAAGGTTTCCTCCAAAAACAAAGAATATGGCTAATTTTCGAAAAATGTGGGCAAAGAAAAGCTGAACTGTAACCCATTAAGGTAGATGCTTGTTACATGTCATAGGCCTACTTTTACTGTACTTTACCTTTTAAAGCATCTGGATTACCTATCTGTCAGCAGTTCAGTTGCCCATGATCATTACTAATTAATGGTTAGCTAAGCTGAACACACTGGTACTTATAGGTACTCATTGAAAGTGATTGAATGTTCCTAACAAAGCTTGTTATACTCTATACTTATGAGAAAAGGAAACCAGTTCTTTACTTCAGTGGTGGATTATTATATATGAAATAAGAGTATTGTATGTTTTTCTTTTCTAGGTATTCAGGAACAAACACTGGGAACGTGCACATTATTGCAGATTTATATGCAGAGGTTATAGGTGTCCTTGCACAGGCCAAGTAAGAATATGATTTTAGTCTTTTATGCAGTGAGCTGTGTGGTTGAGTTTTATGACTTGTTTGGGGTTTAGTAAATGGCTGTGGTTTCCCTACTTTCCGCTGGCAGGAGAGAGAGCTGAGAATATCCGGCGGCATAGCTGTTTATTAGGATTAAATGGCGCCCCTCTTGCTTTCTTTTCATCATTTAGATTTCAGGCTGTGAGGAAGAAGTTTGTCACGGAATTAAAAGAACTGCGACAGAAGGAACACAGCCCCCATGTGGTGCAGAGCATCATCAGCTTGATCATGGGGATGAAATTCTTCCGTGTCAAGATGTATCCTGTGGAAGATTTTGAAGCCTCTTTTCAGTTTATGCAGGTATTTGTTGTCCTGCTATTCCTCTGTTTTGTGCTGTTTGAAGGTGTTTGTCTTCTGGTGTCAGTACACACTTTTGTTTGCCTATCTTTCTGCCATTTTTTTATGCCTTGGGAATTATCATTACACTGTGACTGTAAGCAAACAAGTTGTTGTTTTTAAGTCTTGTGTAAAAAATTTGATCACTCCCACTTGTATTAATCTTTTAGATGCTAATGATATCTTCTATGCAACCAATTGTGACCTTTTTCTTATCGAACATTGGAGAGCATTATCTCTCCAACTCTGACATTATCTGTGAGGCAGGGCACTGCCTTGTAAAATATCTTGGGCTTTTATTTGGAACAGAGCGCCCAATGCACTATGGTAGCAAAGTTCTTTTGACTTTGTTCCAATTCTAATTTCCTTGCCTTCTAGAACTTGACCCTACCCTCCCCAACCTTAAATGAAACTACTTAGTAACACTTACAAGTCCATCTCCAGCTAAAACTTTTTTAATTTTGGTTAGTGTGAGGAAGGAGTCTGGTTGGGTTTTATTGTCATTTGTGTCCCTGCTGGGAGTAGTTCACCCAACTTCCTCTCCTAGTGACCAAACAGGAAGTCCGATCTCCCCAATGGTGACACAAACAAGAATACAAACAGTTATTCCATGTGTCCTTCATTTGATTAAAATCATGTTTTATTACTGTCTCTGTCCCCATCAGAGATTTTGGCTGGAGATGTGCATTAATTTAACTCTTAACTTCCCCCTGACATTTAGCATCCTATCCTTAACCCAATCCTCACCATATCCTTTTGCAGTAACCCAATACTAGCAAAAGCCCTGAAACAACATACTTACCTTATGGGCCCCAGAAGTATCGTACACAGAAACCTTGCTGCATCAATAGGCAACAGTAGAATTTCGTTTGAAAAAATGTATTTTTGAAATGCTCGTTTGATTTCCCTAATAGTTATGGGGTCACTTCACTTTTGACTTTAGTGATGAAAAAAATCGAAGGAGCAGGTTGGAAAATGTTTCTCGAACAAACTAAATTCTAATTGTAAATGTGGTTTTCGTTCAAGAAACTCCCAAAATGGAATGTTAAAATCGAAGGAAATTTCAAACGACATTCTTCTAGTGTCTGATGGCATTGTGAAATGTTCTCATGAGATTTGTTTCATATGAATGTTTGTATGCAAATATACCAGTGTTTGGCAGGCTTAAGAATAAGTGCAGCAAATAAATAAAAAGTCTGCTTTTTTGAAAAATTGATTCCATGTTCTCACTTTTCTTTCTCTCAACCTCAATTTTGCTTACCAACACCTTCTTTTTTTTTCTTCTTACCATGTTCTTTCTCTTTTTACCATGTTCTTTCTCTTTTTCACACACTTCCTCTCCCTTGTCCCTCTCTCTTTTATCTTCACATTTTCTGTTTTCAGCACTGTCTCCTATTCTCTTGTTTGTGTCATTTTCTTTCTTATTATCTTCCTCTCTCACTTTTGATCTCAGATTCTTTATTGCTTCACATGTTTACAAACTGTAACTTCTTCTACATGGTTTAATGCACTGTCTATATCCCAGTGTTACAGCAGTGCTGAATAAGTGTTTCTATAATGCAGGGTATTCCTTGCCATTGATGCTTCATATAATGACTCTTTCTGCTTGTTTGCTTGAAAGGAATGTGCACAGTACTTCTTAGAAGTGAAAGACAAGGACATAAAACATGCACTTGCTGGTCTGTTTGTAGAAATTCTCATCCCTGTGGCTGCTGTAAGTAAATCTTGTGATGTCTGCAGATTTATGTGTGTGATCAGATGCCAAGCTTTAACTCATTTTTTGAAGAAAAACTTTGCTACATCATTGAAAACATCGGTGACATTGTTCGGTCATCTTCTTATTGTATGTGTACATGTAGTTTTACTAATTTATTTAGAGCAAAGTTTCAGGGTCCTGTAAAAAATGCTCATAGGCAGTAGTAAAAGGCAGAAGGCGCAAAAATTATTTTTTTTTACAGAAACTGTAATGGTTTTAGTTAATTTTCATTTTATTTACATTTGTATTTTTCTGAACAAATATGTTTCAACATCTTGTAGGGGTTTTATTTTTATTTTTTTGCCACTTATTTAAAAAAAAAAAAAACAACCTTTTGATACAGGGTACACTTATGACAGAATTTAAAAGAACGGTGTGGATTTTCTATATTGACAGCACAGAAGAAGCTGTTTGCTTTCAGACCTTCTCTTTCTGGTTGAAACTGTGTATAGAGTCATATGAGCAGAGAGTCATTCCTCAGGTCTGTGTATAAATTGTATAAAAAGCTGTTGAGCTTTGTATACAACAAGCATTTTTTCAGCAAAAGCCGGTAAGGGTAGCCAGGGAAACATCTGAAAAGAATCAATCTCCTATCTGAAAATGAGAAAATACAAATATTTATATGCATTATTTTATATTTACCTGACCTGACTGAAAGAGGAAGACATATTTTAAAAATGGAATTTCGCTTCCGTTCATTGAAGTACACTGTGGAGATCTTGAATCTCTAATAAGGTGGCACTATAACTCTATGGTCTGAGTTTAAAGATCTCCACTGTGTCCTTCAATTAATTCAGAGAAAAGGATTTTATGGTGAGTACAGAAATCCAATTTCTTTAGTCCTGACCATAATAAAACCAGAATCCCTGTATACATTCCTTTTTAATGTGCTGTTTAGTGACGCAATTGCTTGTAAAAGTTTGGGTGATATGATGCATACAGCAGCTTCAAAATTCGCAGAATGTAGCAATTTAGTACAAGACAAACCGCTTGTGATTAATTGCAGATTCCTGGACTAACTGTACTGTGCAGGTACTTAGTCATTATGTGCGTTTTGTTGTGGACAGACTTTAAGCACAGCCTAAACCAAAAACATTACTACCATTGTAACCTGGTCAGGGTCCTTGTGTCAGACGATGGGGGCATTTCAATAGGTGCAATTGACAAGAGTAGACAGTGCTTCATTCTGCCCACCAGCAGCAATGGATGCATAGCCAAGCTCAATTTCTTTACACAGAAAGGACTTTACCAAATGTCTTCTTCCTTTGTGTCTGTACACAGATCAGATAATTGCACTAAATGGCAAATATTCAGGCTTTGAGGGTTGCCATTGAAAAACAGTGGACACATGACAAGATGTGTAGTGAACTTTAAATAGACAGTTGTGGATCTCATGGAAACAGATTCCTTTTTAGATGCCACATATAATTTCAGAGCCTTTAGGCATAATGGATCAACATAAGTAACAAACACTATTTATAAAATCTTTGTCATTTTGCTTCCCTCGCTTGCCATGTAAAATTTGTTAGAAACGAGGAGTACCTCTCTAAAACATGTCTACGTTCAAACTTGAAAATAAAAACATTCTCCCTCCAAGCCCTCTGTACCTTTTTGGATCAAAAATACTCCCCTTCTGATGCAGAAGCCACTGTAAGCCCCCCTTAAAGTCAGTGATCGGGTTTGCACAGAACGTGATCCCTGAAGACTTTCTCTTCAACGTCATGCTTTCCATGCTTGAGTCCTACAGCCCCATAGGCTGTAATTGAATCTCATCAACCTGTAAGTTGACAAGTATGACAAGTCTCATTTACAGCCTATGGGACTGCAGGGTTCATTAATTAAATTGAAGAGGAGGTCTCTGCCAATTAGATTTCTATGGAAACCCAATCTCCGACCTCCAGGATGGTCCGCATCGGCTTCTGTGGCGAAAGGCAAGTATTTCTGACTCAAAAAAGATAGAAGGCCAGAAGGGAGGGTATTTATTTTCTCGGGTTAAACATGGACATATCCTTTAGGGTTAGAAGATATTATTGATCTGTGAATGTTTGCAGAATAGTAAACCATTTGATATTTCATTATACTATGCAGACTTAATTTGTTTGTGCCAGGCTTCTGAGTCTCACATCTGCTACTGAGAAGGCTTTATGATCGCTACAGATTCAGACACTGTTTTCCAGGCACTTTTTGCCAAATGGGTTATAAGAGCTTTTCCCTTGCACACTGCACAGTGCTGGTCAGAGCATTACTGATATTTTCCATTGCATTAACAAATCATGCTTTGGGTAGAATATGCTTGCATGTTTCCTGTTAAATGTCCTCAGAAGAGCTCGTTAGTATAATTAATGCTGTCTACTTCCACTCATGTGACACGACACAGACAAAGTAAAAAAAAAAAAGAACATTCATATTAGCTATTTCTCCATTCCCATGTAATGTTTGCAGTATTTGACAGATGTTCATAAAGGTGTGGGCACAGCTTAAAGTACGTTTCCACTTTACGGTAAAGGCGGGCCTCTTCCTTGGCACTCTCCCTGAGAAAACATATCTGAAAAAGTGAAGTCTCTTGGTAAACTTATTATAACAAATGTTCTGCACTCCAATCAGTAACCCTAACCCAAGCTAATTCAAAAAGATAATATCAGATAAGTATATAAAAAATTGCACTGCAACTATGTATTAAATTAATTTGGCTGATTGAGGGGAGAGCTTTCTACAATGTCTAAAAAAATGGACATTTGTATTTTGAGATTAGAAGGTGCACTATTTAGTGTTTAGAAGGTGCACTGGGGTGGCATTCAAAATGAATGGCACTGTGACGCACCACATTACCAATCATGCCCTGCAGTTTGAAGCTAGCCTTAAGTTCCCACATAGGACACAAAGGTTCTCCTTGTGACGGGAAGAAAACAAAGATATACAAGTGCATAAACAAAGAGTTCTCCTGTGAAAATGTGGAATGTTCTTCCACAGGAACTGGTTTTTGCAGTATTTAAAAGCACAAATAATAAGTGGCTATGGATAGAGCATTGGTTCCAAGAGTTTCTTATTGACTTTAGGAATCCGAAAGAAATATTCGGATCTCTGAAGTTTTTTTTTTTTTACCCCTGGTTCATCTGGGGCCTAAAGGTTCTGATGATGGGAAGTCTTTTATTTTATGTTTGTTTCTTATGGCCAACCATTATACTATGTAACCATGAGTACGCCACCTACTGCAGCTTGATCAGAACTCTCACAATCTGCAAAGACACTTGGTTCCGGTAATGTGACTTTAATTTTATATTTTTTCCAGGCTGTAAAAAATGAAGTAAATGTGCCATGTTTAAAGAGTTTTGTAGAGATGCTCTACCAGACCACGTTTGAACTCAGCTCAAGAAAGAAGCATTCCTTGGTGAGATTTTATACTGTGATACTCCTATTTCTTTATACATCTATACCGCAGGGGTATTTTTTTCATGTATATTTGATTGGTATCATTGTCACTTTCCTATGTATTGCATATCACTGGGATGTTTGCTAATTAATATAAAGTTGGTATAATTGGCCCTTATGTTGGTGGAATCTACGTAGTTTTAGGCCTGTGCCCTTTATATCTTAGGATTTGACCAACCAAATCCACTGTTTTTCCACAGGTCTATTACTTTAGGTTTGGGTTTAATTATGATGTTCCTTATTCTTGATCAATTTGTTGCCAACTGCCCTTTGAGGTGATAATAAGATAATAATGGTGAAATAATAATAACGATCTATAAGAAAAGTTAAATACTTCATGCTTCATATTTGTAAACTGTACATTTTGAGAGAAAATTATGAAACAACGTTAAACTAATTTTAAATATTTTTTTTTAGTTAATGGTGCTTTAAATGTGTCTTTTCGTTGTATTCACAGGCACTATATCCACTGGTTACCTGTTTGCTGTGTGTCAGCCAAAAACAGTTTTTCCTGAACAATTGGCACATTTTCTTGCAAAACTGTTTGTCACATTTAAAGGTAAGCCTCTTGTGGTTGTATTTCAGCACTGAGAATCATTGGGCTGTAACAAATCTACCACAATTAAAAAGCTGCATGTCCTGGGTGATTTAACAAAGTATTTTACAAATCTAAGCAGTTGTACCATCATTGCAAGCTTTTCTCAAGATCATTTGTATGATAATTCACAACCATTTTCTTTCTATTGTATTGCAAAGAATATTCTTGGACTGTTATGACTTGTGTGACTCTTACTCCTCTTTCTGTCATTAATACAGATGATAATGGTACATTAATAATAATAAAAATCAAGAACCTTTCTTTTTGACATCTTTCTGGTACTGTTCTGCATCATGTAAGGTGTAATGACTCCCTCCCTGATACAATATGGATTTAATGTACTTGGGTTCTCATTATATGTAGTTTGATTAGCTGAATGTCTGTTGATGAATATGGCACTTTGGTTGTGGCACGCTCCGACTTCCATTACCTGCTTACACTGCTTTGCTTTTTTGTTCCCTTTACATCTTTCTGGCTTGATCATTTTCATCCCATCCATTTTTGTTTCGTCTACTTCCAGCTATTTTCTTTGGTTTGTTTTTGTCTTATAAAATCATTGTTTAGTGCACCTGTGCTGACAATTGTACTAACAGACATCAGTTTACGGAGCAGATCTAGGCAAAAGTATAAAAGTTATCTTTAGATTACCACATAGACCTATTTTTTCAATACAGCTAGCAAAGTGTCTGAAATTTGTCTATATACAGTAAACGCCCAGTTATCTGGCACCCACTGGGATCGGTAAGTGCCGTATAGCTGTAGTTTCTGGTTGCTTGACAGTTAATAGTAAGTTCTCTCTTGAGTCTACTCCACTGCTCAGTGGGCGGATGCAACAGCCAGCCTGCTATTGCCTATTTAAATTGGCCAGTAGTAGGCTGGCTATGGAAGCCCCACCCACTGAGCAGAGGAGTGGACCTGAGAGAGAAAGTTCTCTCGGTCCCCTCCTCTGTTCAGTGGGCGGGTGAAATAGCCAGCCTGCTATTGGCTATTTCAGTTTGAAATGGTCAATAGCAGGCTGGCTATTGCTTCCCATTGTTTACTTTCTGCTGTCGACAGCAGAATCTAGCCGCCGGCCAGCAGCAAGGAGGAAACAACTAATTACATTTAGTCGCTAACTAAATTTTTTAGTGTGCACCAAGCAACCGACAATTTTATTGTGTGCATCAAGCTGGTTGCTTGAATGCCGGATAATGGGGAATTTACTGTAATAAGGTACCATGTGTTAGCTGAAAATTCATAGGTGTGTGCTTTGCACATTTATGGCTCAGAGGAAAATGTACTCCAAAGGGTATCAGCAGTGTAGTAATGTTCACAGGCAGTATAAAGACCAGGTAGGAGATGGGGCAGTGACCTGCAATCTGCCTTCTTTGAAGAAGTGTTGCTGCTAAGGTGTAGCAGACTTTTCCTTTCATTTTACCTAATCTCTGCCTATAGCTCACCCCAGGGGAATAGTCCCAGCAGGGACACATAAATCAGTAAAAAACTAACAGGGGTTCTTCCATAATCTATCCAAAACGATTGTTATTGGCTGTACATATTCTTTGATGTACTAATAAACCAAGGTGTCAAAGGCTGAACTTAAGAGAAAGGGTACTATAGCCTGGATGTGTAACTTGCATAGAGTTCTCACATCTAAAGCGATTCTGGTCATGCAACATTTGTACAATTCTGGAAATGTCCCACATGACACTCCATTTAAACATTTCAACCATGACCTGTGGCTATGGGCCTATGCTTAATATCTACACAACTAAAGCATGTAGGCATTTGCAAATAAAAGTCTTTCTCTAACTAAACTTAGTTTTAGTTTTGTATAGTGGGGTATGGTTAAAACCCGTGTAAGGTTTATCCATTTTTTTCTTGTTCCATTGGGGATCTCTTTACTTCCAGTCCTGTAGGTATGATGACATCTCTCCAAGGAAAATTCCCTCTTACTGGGTTAACTCCAAGAACAAATGCAGTTTGCATTTAGCCTGCATTTGTAATTTGTTTAGGAGGCTTTACAGTTCCCTCACCCCTGCAAGTGACCTCCTTCTGACCTGCAGTTGACTTTCTTTTAAGCTTTATCAACCTGCTTCAAACTGCCCTTGCCTTTTCATTGGCTTGTAAAGGGAGAGAAGCGGTTTTGACACACACAACACCCCACATACACAGGCCATTAGACAGTTGTCATCAGGACAGGGTTCCCCATTGTAAGATTTCCCCTCATTTCCTGTTATGGTGAGATGCTAAAGTTTTATATTTCCATTCACTTCCTGCCCTGACGTAAATGGTCACCAGGACCAATAGTGAGTCAAGTCTCTCCAGCGGGGGCACAATCAAAAATAATAACCCGGCGGAGGTCTTAGCCCTTCCCAATTCCATTTAAAATCGGAATAAATGTCAGTCAAAGTACCGCAGCTCTGAACACTGAAAAATGGCCTGGCCAGGTAGGGGATCTAAACACCTGGTCTTCAAGCAGTTAATCTATAGGCACTTTTTAGGGCACTTTAGTTAGGACACTCAAACATCACAGGTAATGAGTCAGTTTAAAATCCAGTTAAGTATCTATTGGATAGATGATTGTGGCATTAGAATACCTCTGACAACAACTAGTATAGGCTTGGACAGTCCCTCTCTGTCCTAGAGACCTGTAGTTCCCCACCAGCTTGAGCAAAGACAACTGTCTGCACTTGAATTAGAAATCAAATCCTTAAAGTCAGAGTACTTTAGATATGTTAATCAATTTGTACTCTATGTAGCCAGAATAGTTATGGATCTCCAAAAATGCAGAATTGTTCTCTTTTCCTGGCTTCTTTTAGTTGTGTTCCGTTTGCTTTGTGCTTTTATTTTTCATCTAACATGCATGTCGCTCCATTTTCATGTTTGTTATGTTTTGCTGTCTCACGTTGCTTTATTTAGATGCCATCTAACAACAGTCTCAGAAAACAAATAGAAACCCTACAGGTGAGTTTGTATAATAAAAAGCTGGGCTTGCTTTCAAGGTGTGGGAGGCCTCATATCAGGGCTTTCTAGACATTCTGACCATTAATCTTTCATTTCTGTTAACAATTTAATAAGATGACGCTCTTCTGCAGCACCCCCCCGTACATGCTAAAGATCGCCTGCCAGTTTATTTCTGATTTCCAGTAGGGATGCACCGATACCGAGTATTTGGCCGAGTACCAGTCAGGAAGCCGGGCAGCGTTTAATGACGCGCTGCCCGGCTTCCTGATCGGTTGGAAGCTGGCCAATCATGACGAGGGAGCATGGAGACGGCTTCCCGGCCAATCATGAAGCCGGGTGCCGCGACATTACATGGCACCTGGCTTCCTGATTGGCCAGAAAGCTGGCTCCATGCTTCCTCGTCACCTGGTGACGAGAAGCATGGGGGCGTCTTCCCTGCTAATCGGGAAGCCGGGTGGCGAGTCTTTACATGCTGCCCGGCTAATCAGGAAGCCAGGTGGCGAGTCATTACACGCCGCCTGGCTTCCTGAATCGGACTTTCGGTACTCTGTTTATACCGGTATCGGTGCATCCCTAATTTCCAGCATACATGTAAATCAGTACTTTCATAAGTATTTTTGTCATTTTAATGGCAAAGTTCTTGTTTTGTAAATATGTACTATTTACAGTTTTGTCTCCTGAAGCAGAGGTTGACCTAAACTATGCAGATATATACAATCACCTTCTCTGTGCCTACCCTGCTTTGGGCTTATTCACGAAAACCCTGGTCAGCAGCGTTGCCCAAAGCAGTCTCGATACAAAGACAAGGCCAATAGCCTTACTTCGTAGGGCCTGTGCACACCAACATGCTGCATTGATGTGTGTTACATAAAAATGATTCAGGGGGGTGTTACAACGTGCTGCAGCAAACTCCTGCACATAACATTACCATAGGAGTAACAAAAAAAGTGAGCACTGCAAACGCGTTATTACAACACATTGTAGTCCAGATTTACACTGCACAGCAGCGCGCACAGCCTGAAGATGAATGGTGAGCCGTATCATGCTGTGCGGTGTTTGTACCCACCGCCACGCTTCATCATGTGACTGGCGCATGAAGCATGGGAAAGAAAGCTACTACTGGTTCATGATAGCCACATTATTTTCCCTCCAATGCACAGGTCTTATATTTTTTTCAGTTCTATCGCATATGTAAGAGCCATGAGTTCAACATGTGGCTTCTTGCTTTTCATGGGAGGGGTTGTTGTTTTTCTGAAATTGTGTTGCAGCTATGTTATGTTTGGTTATTTAAATGCACGTAATGCTTTGGTTACTGTTTCATTTGGATACCAAGTAAAATTCTGCTATATGTATATGTGCGTGCGTGCCTGTGCGTGCGTGTGTGTGTGTGCGCATGTATATTTGTATATCTATATATATCTATCTATCTATATAGATTTATATATATCTATATAGATAGATAGATAGATATATACTGTGTGTGTGTGTATATATATGTATATATATACATATATATATACACACGCACACAAAACAAATGGTAGGTAGTCGTCGCACATGTTATAAATCAAGGTGCGCTTCAAAAGTAGTGATCAATATAATCGCTTGTTGCCTTATATTTCAAAGAGGATTCAGTGAAGCATGGTGAAATGTATTTGCTAACCAATATTTCGGTGGGTTGCAGCTCACCCAATAATATTTCAGTGGGTTGCAGCTCACCTTAATAAAGTTGGGCTGCTACCTATGGAAACTTTGGTTAGCAAATAAATTCAAACTTCATTAAATTCTCTTTAAACATCAGTGTATGCACTGCAAGAAGTGCCTGATTGTGCGCATTTGGACCTCTGGAACTTCGTTGTGCGGCAAGTTAAACTTTATATTTTGATGCTATATCATATACATGATCAACATGAATCTTTTGCCTTTCTTTGATGGTGTGCTATGTTAATAAATACGGTATATATAAATGAAAATATGAGAATTGTCTGTTTTATTTGCTGCGACCTGCAAATTGTATGTCTCATCTTCACACTGTTAGCTGGCCGAGAACTAAGTATGCAGCCCTGGGAGGCAGATCCTTAGTAGTGTCTATGTCTTTTGTATGGGTGCGGTTGGGTAACATCTCATTGCTAATAATAAACATGTCTATACAGGAGATTGTCAGAAAAGCTCATTGATCCAGACTTCCCCGCAGAAGTGTGTTGTTTACACAGTGCAAGCACGCCTGGGCAATATTTGGTTGTTTTCGCTTTTCATATGTGATGCAATTCTCATTGGTGTGTTACAAGACAATAAAAAATTCATAAAGGAAGTGGGACAGCCGTGTAGATGAACTAATGGCTGGGAGGCCACATGTTTCTGTGCTGCACTGATGACCAAATATTTTTGTGGCCTAAACAGTTCTGTTCTTCACAAAAATGAGGCATTTCCACCCTCCCTAGGTACCTGACTGTGTCTGACTTCAGCAATTTTGAATCGCATAACATAGACAATCATCATGTAAATGAGTGACAGTAAAATGTCAGTATTATCTCTATATTTGTTCCCAGTCAGCAACTTAGTCACTTTAAAGTGGAAACATTGAAGAGTCGGAATGACAGCCAGGAAAATCAACATCCGCCAAAGGATTGGTCAGCAATGGCAACCTCCATTATTCTAACATGACACATTCTCTTTAAGCAGGGAGGCTGAGCAACTGCAGTTAAATACAGAGCTACAATCTAATGGTTAATCTAAAAATAATATGTTAAAGCATATAGAATTGTGAAAGTCAGAATCACATTAGGATAAACTGCAATATATACTAATATGGCCTCACTGAAAACACCCTATAGTCATAATATAAAGAAACAAAACAATAATGAACACTTGTTTTTATTTTTAATTTGTGTTTGCAAAGGTGTTCACTTCATTATCCACAACAATAAAACATTTTAATTGCTTGCAGCATTTGTTCAATGATAATATAGTTGAGACGTGTTTTTATTTTTTCTCTTTCAGAATAAGGACCCAAAAATGTCTCGCGTTGCACTGGAATCTCTGTACAGATTGTTATGGGTTTATGTTATTCGGATAAAATGTGAAAGCAACAATGTAACACATAGGTGAGTCTGATACTTCAGGGTACATATATTTAGCTTGGTGGATAGAATGGGACACACTTTTTCTCATTTACATATTGCAAGTCTTGTAGCAGTCCGCATAAAAGTTACAGCGGAACACATTATTTTCTTCCATTTTAAAAATACATGATGTTTCATGACTGAAAGTATCAATGCACATGAAAGAGTTTGGGAGAAGAGTGACGGCAGAAAAATGGACTCTGTCACCTTTTTTTTATATATATATTTTTGTTGAAGTTTAGATCTATTATCTATGTGTCCTATGTTAAAGCTGAACTCCAGACACACCGCTAAATACACAGAAGAAATAAGTACAGTGGTACCTCGGTTCACAAACGCTTCTGTTCGTGAACAATTCGGTTCACGAACCGGAAAGTCGGCAAATTTCTGCCTCTGTTCACGAACTCCGCATCGGGTGACAAACACAATCGCTGACACTTGGTCGTGGCTTCCTCTAGTCGGGATCGCAGTCTGACCACAGTTTGATTCGGTTCGCGACCAGAATCATGGAATGAATTAAGTTCGTGAACCGAGGTACCACTGTATATGAGAGCTGTTTTACCTATTAAAGGATTTCTTTTTCTGCACCCCCCTAGTCCTTAGATTTGCAAAACCCTACCAGAAGCAAAGCCTGTTTGTTGACCTGACTTTGCTATGTCTCCTGGGCTGTGACTGGACAGTGAAGGAGAAGCAGCAGAATGAGGAGCTTATTTCTCTCCTCTTGTCAGCATGTTCCTTGTTGTCACATGAACATTGCAGCACATCTGATCAGCTCCTTGTACTGCTTCTCCCTCTCCATTTCTGAACATTGCTGGTCAGGGATTTAAATAAAGATACATAGGGATTGATTTCTAAAACGCCTGCCCAGCCATATGCTGAGCAAAAGCTGTTCACAGAGGGTTCGCACCACTAGATGGATTCGAGGAGCATCGGAAATCTAGGAGCGGGAATGTTGTGCCCCCTAATGATTCTTTTTTCTAAAGACTTAACTGCATGAATTGGTATTTTTTCCTTAAATATACTGTTATCCTGTCCATCACTGTTTGTGCTTAGATCTTTTTTTTGTTCTGCTGCTTATGACTACTCAGAGACATATCTACAGTTCCATATAGGCAACTTTGTGTCCTTCTAACGCTGTGGTATAAGAGCTAGCATAAGTCACTGTTAAAATATAAAAGTAATCAATGTTGCTAATAGATATTAGCCCCATGCAAGTGCACATCTCCTAGTGTGAAGTCTTGGGTTTGGTTTGTGTTGATGTTAATGGTAGTAACATAAATTAACCTAATTGGTCTCATTACGGTATGTGGCTGATGTTAAAATCATCTGTATTGTTAAGCACAGAAGGAAAACACCAGGATCTCAAGCTGCGACCAAGCAGTGAAGTTACATTTCAACCCTTGCTGTTCCTTCCAGCTTCTTTTGCAGTTTCAAATCCACACTTGTTAATGTATTTTTCTTACATTGCCAGTAAATTGTGTCTTAGATCTGTTTTACTTTGTCAGCCGCTGGTGTATGTCATGTGAGAAAGTAATTTGGACTTTATTGCCAGCCTGTCTTAGTCTGTTAACAATTAGCTTCTATTTGGATCGATTGGGCAGATTTCATATATTGGATAGAAGAGGGCTGGGAACTTTGCAGCAGTTAATTAAACCATGGTAGGCCATTTATAGAGATAGTCTTATTAGGAGGCTGCCTAAGGGGCTTAGCTTAGTCTGTAAATTACCGGCAATATGTAATGTTAGGTTCTAGCAG